AACTGATTACTTAATTAAAATAGAACGTTTAATGCCTCTGTAAAATTATAGGAGTTCTATGACATGCATCCCTATATAAGAGAATAAAAGAATACAGCTGGAAATCTGTATCTGTAAATATTATACCACAAAACCTTCAGTATACACTGTGGGAAAGTAATTATATCTATAAAAAAGTAATATTGAATTAAGTTTCTTAAAAGTATTTGACCAAATCACAACAGCAGTCACCTCAAGGCCCTTAAGATTGTAAGTTAGAGACCCAACAATTATATAGAGAAAACTCAAACAATCAAATGACCACCGTTGAGCACGCACTTGGCGACAGTGGGAAGGAAAAACTCCCTTTTAATAGGACGAAACCTCAGGCTTTCTGCCACAACGAGTTAGAGATGATATGGTGATACAGTGTTTATTCCAGAGATCACAGAAAAACAGAAATTAAAAGTATTTTCCTGCTTTTAACAGATATTTTTCTCATCAGAAATTTGATTGCACGTATAAACTCTGAAAAGAAAAATGTTCCTCTTAGAGCATCCCCTCTGTCCAATTCAGGTTTGCTGGGGGGCTGATAGGTAACCTAAAAACTAAATTCATTTAAGAGAGGAGAAGACAAATTAACGGCCCCCGGCCCTTATGTTGGGCCCCTCCTCCTGTATTTTTAGCCTTCTGCCAGGAGCCTGTTCCTTCCTGGGCGTTTCCTCCTCTGCTCGGTCTAACACAGGATGTCCAGCCTGTTCAGCACACTCCAGCGGCTCCAGGGGGACAAACAGACCCAAACACACCATCAGTCTTACTTTGTTCAAACCGGCGCTGGCAGATACTGAAGCTGGAATGAATTACACTCTATTGTTTCTGTGCTGTCGCTCAGTGAATCACACACACTTGTATTGTTTTCTTACTCAAACTCCAGGACCCAGAGACCACTTTATCTGATTTAAAAGACACGTGTAAGGACCACCGGGAAACGTGCTTTACGTCAATAATTTAACCCTCCTGAGCAACTGTCTGTTTTCAGAGTGGAGATCAGTAAAGATTCATTCACTGGGAATTATTATATTTTATCAGTTCATCTGTTTAGGAAACATTTACTGCAGATTAATAACTTTATAACATCTATTTATTTTAGGACAGTTTTCAAATATTTTTACCTGAATTGATTGGCACAGCCCACATACTCACAAATGCATTTAAAACTTTTAAGATTTAATAAAATGTGACTACTTCTGACTACATAATTACAAAATAAAATAAAAACAATATGCAGACCTTTTTTTTAATACAAAAGGTAAGTGCTGTGAAAAATTCACAAAAAGTAAAAAAAAATTTTTTTTAAAAACCCCAAACAGGATTAAAAGCACTGAAGTGTAATCGATGTAAACAGACATTAAAGTAAAGATTTATTCCTTTATTAATAATTAATGTGGCACTATATTTTGATTAACAATAATAATATTAATAATAATAATAATGATAAATAACAATTTAACCATGACTAATCAGATTTTCCCTCTCAGAGACATTGAATATCTTTGTTCAAACCTAAAACATTCAACTGGAATTATTTGCTATAGCCATTAATTTTATTTTATTTGTGAAAAATGCTGCTCTAGATGTAAATTAGTTGTTAAAGGGGTGATGCTGTCATTTATAATTATAATACATTTACTGTGGAAGTTTCTGTTTGGCATTGGATGTTTGTTTGTTTTTACTTGTTAATTAAAACAGGCATTCACTATTGAGCAGTTACTGATGTGGTTTAGTAACCGTGGATTAAAGATGTGAGTAGCATTCTCTTCCACCAGTGGGCAGTACAATTACCTTCTCTAATTAAATGGGTTGCCAACTGCCAGTAAAACAGAAGAAGACAAAGAAAACAAATACATAATAGTCATGCTGTGAGACGACGCAGTGCGTAATAGCAATAGATAAATGTTTGAAAAGAAAAAGTAGGGTCCTGGAGAACATTCTGACCCAGATGAAGGCCCTAGCATGAGTAGTGCTAGTAGTGCATGGGTAGTGGTCAGAAGCAAGCAACAAAGGTATACTAGGGACAAACTGAGCCAAACTCCACTATGCCATGTGCACAGGGGAAAATTATCAATTTGCTTTTTGTGACATTTTTGTTTGGTGGTGTGCCGTGTGATTTTTCTAATGTGAAATATGTGCCGTGGCTCCAACAGGTTGGGAAACACTGGTTTAGATATACGTGCTTCACCACTTAAATTCTTGTACAGCCACTTTTCAGGTAATAGGTTTCAGGAACTGGACAATGGAAAAATCTGTGGAAATCTGGGGTTTTTTTAACATTATATTTCCTACTTTAAATCACTACATTGTAAGGTTTGTGATAAACAGAACCAGGACTGTTAAAATTCCCCAGTCTGTCACTTATCTTGGAGGCTTGAGGGTTAAATCTGATGGGGTTCTACTGCAGAAACAGGAAAGAAAGTTGCACAAGATTGTAATGTTTCCTTGTCCAAATGTGCACGTTGATTGAAATATGCACATATGTGGAGTACCATTTACTGTATTCTTCATGTTTTTTTATTAGTTTTAGGAGATGTTAATAATTGATCGATGTTTTCAAATCTTTACCATTCAAAAAGAGTGTTCCCATCTGTAAATGCTTCACCACATCCCTGTAAGGTTTAAAGACGCAATCGCTGTGTCACAGTACAGATCGAACGAGGCTGATTTGAGTTCCTCCCTAGGCGTCTACGAACGAAGCCTCCCAATAACAGACAATAGAGCTTAGTCACAGGGAGCAGCTTCTGTTAGCAGACTGTGAGGTGTTGGAGGCCAACGCTGATGCTCTGACTCTGATACCGGTCATAGCTTTTAAAGGAAACAATGAAAACACTTCTGTGAATGATGCAATCTTTTTCTGATGTCTTGTTGCTTTCAGCTGAGACGGGACGTCTGTGTTTATTTAAAGCTACTTTTCTTGGAACTTCGATGTACCGTGGTCCGTGATTATAACAAGGGTCCTAATGTACCCAAATCAGATCAGCCAAGCTGATGTATAAACATATATAGCTCATTAACATGCTTTAGTAAACGATGGATGTCCCAGCTCTTTGTTAAGCACTGGAAAAGCTTGATGAAGATCCTCTCTGTAACATCAAGTGAAGCAGTACAATTAAAAGAAACTTTTTCATAAAAGTGAGAGTGGAGTAGAGGAGGAGATGAACCGATGTGTTGACCCCAGTGCAGTGTCTTCATCTGCAGTGATGAAGACACTGCACTGATCTGTTGTAGTGACGAAAGAGCTGATTGTGAAGGTTAAGCTGTTGATTTACTGGATGATTTACTATATTCCTATCCGCATGTATGGTATGGTGATGAGATGTAGGTAGAGACTAAAAGAATAATGTCACAGACACAAGCGTCAGAAAGAATAAGCTTCCTCTGAACAGAGTTCAGCCTTAGAGACAGGAGGAGGTAGCTCTTTGTTTTAGGAGGGGCTCAGAGTAGAGCTGCTACTCCTCCACATTAAAAAGAGCCAGATATGGTGGTTTGAGAATCAGATGGATTCTTTCAGGATAAATCCTCAGTGAGTTGTTTTAGGCATGTCCACACAGGACACTCTGGAGAGATTATGTCTCTGCTCAGTACCCATCTGAAAGAGCTGGAGTAGATGGCTCGGGAGAAGGTCTGGGTGTCTGTGCTTAGACTGGACATGGATACGTGACAGAAGAAAAGATGGATGGATGTCCCTGAAAGTCTTCTCATTACTCATTATGTGGTTTCAATATGGCAAAGCAAATTATATTATTTGTAAAACACAGTAATCTTGTGGTGAATGGATGGACGGGCCTCACCTGTCCCCTCTGTTTGGACTCTGGAACAACTAAAACCTTACTGTGAACCCGTATGACTCATTAAACCGACTGGATAGAAACTAGTGGAAGGCTGGATCTGACCGTGACTTATGATGAAAAACAAGGAAAAAGCAAAAGCGAAATCTCCACATTTAAAAAGGTTGGAAGGACAAATTGATTTGAGTTACTGATTTAAAATAAAATTCAGTAAATAAAAAAAAAAACTTAAAATCTTGCTTTAACAAATAAAAAAAGTGTTTCTTTGTCCCCACAGTGGGGCTGAATAAACACATTGACTCATTGAATTTAAAACCAGGACACAGCTTTGGCTGCAGGCCTCTGTTTATTAATTATACTTCGGACTGGCATTGACTGATGAGGACTTCCCACAACCACTAGCAGTTCCAGTCAGGGATTTCATAATTTACGTTTGTCCAGATTATCGAAATACATAATAATAAACTGAGTAAAGATAATGTGAGTAATAATATACATATTAACCTTATACAATTTACATTATCATTTCTTTCACATTAAAGGTAGATTTACTTTTTCTGGCATAAAACATTTTCAGGGAATGACACATTTTAAATACACACAAGAAAAACAATATACATTTCCTTAAGTGCATTTACAAAATGTCTTATCTGTAGGATTCATATTATCTTTTCATATTTTAAATCTTCTACCAGCTCTTTTGACACAATGTGTCTGTGGCACTGAGACAATTGGTTCAATATCCGAATATCTAGAGTTTAATTTTTTAGGAGGAAATGGGGTATTAGTTTGGGTTTTTCTTTAAATAACTGTGTACAAATGTGGCTTATTAATTTGTTTTAATTTCTAGGCCACAGTAGAGCTCTATGAGATATATATATATATATATATATATATATATATATATATATATATATATATATATATATATATATATATATATATATACACACACACACACACACACACACACACACACACACACACACACACACACACACACATATACTGGAAAGGGACAGGCAGAGAAATGAAAAAGTACAGAATAAAGAAAGGAAGGAAGTTTTAAGTGACTGGGTGAGAGCGCCACTGAATAAGTGAGCCAGTGACAGAGAGAGAGAGAGAGAGCATTAGCTGCTGAGAGAGTGCGAAGGCGGACGAGTGAACAGCTACCGCTGAGAGGATTACACGATTCAGAGCTCTACACGGTCTAAACTGCAGACTAAACTTTTCCTGTATGATTTTCTGGGAACAGAACTAAATCCAGCCTCTTTTTGAACTCTTTTGTTTGGGGTCTGATGGTTCGGCTCTCAACCTCAAGCCCTCCCGGAGCGGTGTGTTTAAAAGCTCTGGTCAAAGCCAACTTGTCTTTATGAACACTGCCAGCACCGAGTCTGACTGGATATTTTGCCTCTGGCAGTACTCTTGTGGCACCAGGCCTTTTTAGAGCTGTTACGTCAACTCTTTGAAGCTACATTACAGCTATTAAGCTTTTAGTTGAACGGCTACCATTACCAGGGGTTTTAAGGGGACTATCCTCTTTCTGTACCTGTGCCAACACCAGAATTGTGCTTGGAACTCCACTGATAGCACTTTCTTTCTGGTTTACCAGCTTGTATCAGTCATCGCTTCAGTGCTAGAACAGCGAGCTGAATTGTTCCTGGACTTTGTGTCTATACTAGAAAACAGTACCAAACTCTCTTTAGTGTCACTCTGGACCCTCTGCTGTTTTCAGTCTCTCTCTGGACATTAGACTTTCATACTCCCTTCCTCTCTGCGTTTTCTACCAGTCTGAAAATATTTATGGACGCTCTCTTGGTACTGGGAATAGTTCAGATTGTGTGCTTGGCTTTGGGGTGAGCAGTATGGTGGCGGGGCAGGGACCCTTCAGCCTGCTGGTACAGCGGTTTAACTCTGGATGCTCAGTGGCAAACAGCAGCATGGGAAAAGAGGTTAAGGTAAGATGAAACATTTACTCTTCTGTTCAGCCTGGTTGGATTCAGTTGTGTTAATTTTGTGAGATAAATTGGATTCTTTTGTTTGTGTGTGTTTTCATCAGTCAAATGTATTCATTTTTTCTTGATTTGGTAGCATTTAACATTTGTAATTTTCACAAATGAAAAAAATCTTGGCAATGAAGCTGGTGACAAAACTGAAGTTCCTCTATTGGCCACTTGAGGCTGACTTCAAACTGAGTCAATCCCCATAGACTGTCATATTAGAGTCCCAACGTTACAGCAGAAATAAACAAAGAAAATAAGCCCAGCATAAAAGACATTGTACGTCATTTCCACCTTCATGCACTACACAGGGGGTTAATTTTTTAAACTAGACCATTTATGTTTTTCTAATGGTATTAAGTTACCATAGCTCGCTGTTAGGCCTCATCTCTTCTAACCGAAGTCAATGAACTGGGCGCTTTAACCTTGTTTGAGCTGTTGCTTATTTGAGTGCATTGAATATCTGATGGTACAATAATGATAAAATAATAGGGCTTGATGTGGAGTTGATTGCATTAACACAGTGTTTTATTCATGTGTTACTTTGCAGTAGTTACCAGGTGTCTGTGTTTTTGAAACACCTTCACTTTCATACTAACCAGTCTAATTTATTACCAGACATGCTCACATATAGTGCCCCCCCCCCAACCAATCGGTGACATCAGTTTTCTTATCAACACAGTATATGTTAAATATGATGTATTTATCACTTTGTTTATATTCACATATGTACTTATCTGTACAGTGATTAATTAGAAATATACAGAATCTGATCTGATCTAGTAACTTGTATTCTGGTTTTATATGATGTAATCTGATTGGGCCTACTTTACTCTATTACACGACTGATGTGAATCAATCAAATGTGATCTAATCTGATGTAATATGGTCTAATTCAACAAACTAATATCAAAACCAGCACTAGTTACATTTAATGTCATTTACTTTAAACTAAAAAGACTGAACAAGAAACGAGAAGTGAAACTATGATGAACACACCTCAAAAATGTTCTTTATAGTAATTTTCATTTCCTGAAAGTCTGGGGTCATGCCTAGGTATCACTAAAGACCTATAAAAATGCAGTTTGAATCCCTGAACTGCAACGTTTGTTCAGTTGTTTAATTTACAATGAACTTTATATCAAATGACTGAACAAACGTTGCCTCAAACTGCAGACCAGAGTCAACCTGCTGTGAACTTGCTGTAATTAAATAACCAGCCAGCTGCTGACGAGCTGTGTTGAATTGATTGCTGTCAGTTCGAATCAGCTGAAGCACCATCATCCACAGAAAACCCATTACAGTTTGTCCAATGGAAAGTTCTTGAGCATGAAGCAAATAAGCAGATAGTTTATGATCCAAACTGAACCTGAAATCTGTAACAAAACAAACAAACCAAAAAAAACCACACGAAACAGCTGCAATGCATCTAAGCTCATAACTTTCACCAGGAAATGACACTGACTTTATTTCCATGTGATTCATGAGTATTTTAGAGACTCATTACTGACTCATCATTTTTTGAGAAGTTGTTGAAAACTGTGGAAATTCTATTTCCAGATTTGGGGGGTGAACTTAAATCGAAAGGTGAAGGAAAAAAGAAAATTATCTCAGAGGTTGATTTATTTTTAGGCAGCTGGTTCCTGACTGTGAGAGCTGATGGTTCCTGTGTTCCAGTAGGTCAGCTGACAGTGAGCTGCCGGGCAGAGCTGCACACACACAGACACACAAACACGCTGATTTACTGTAAGTCTCCATTCAGTGCAGATAACCCAGAGGCAGTTTCACACTAAGAGATGTACCCTTTCCACTGCAGAAACTCCAGGTGCACACCAGGTGTCCCTATTGTTTACAAGATGCCGTCCTAATCAGGGCTTTGAGTCTGTCTGTTTACAGCCTCAGATCCATCACACTCACTACTACGACTACAAATAACCAAGTGAAAAAGTACCTAGTCTTTAACAAGCCTTTTTAGGCTTAAATGAATTTTTAATTAAACAATCAGCTACCACTTGCAACATATTAAATCTTATTTTCGAGATCCAGCTTGGGTCAAGCTGCTGCTTCTGATAAAAACTGAAAATGGAGCGGTTGCATCTCAATGCATGTGCCATAGAAAAATATTTTTGGGAGATTTAACATGTTGAAATACCTTAAATCTGATATTTTCCACACTTAAAACATTAAGCATAAAGTATGAATGCTGGGGTGACATCCCTATGTAGACACCTTTGCTTATTATTATTAACTGTGTGCATTGTTATTAAACGAGCTGTGATGCTGATTCTGCTTTACACTCAACCTTCAGTAGTTTGTTGTAACAAAATGCAGCCATAAAGATGTCTTTTTCCAGTTAATTTGCAGTAAATATAAACATTAAATAACCATTATGTTCATCAAAACTTAAAATTGAGCAAAAACATTTTGACCGTAAAGTTTATTCTGAACATATAAAACACTGTTTGCGATGAATGAGACTTAAAAACTCTCCAACAATTGAAGGACTCGACATGGTTGTTGTTTGTTTTGTGTCCCTGTATCACAGATATTGCATTGCTGATTTGGATTGGTGTTTTTTTGTCAGCATCTAGCCCTCTCCAGCAGTTTTCCAATGCATTTAAGTACCTGTAGGAGTACTTTTTCAGCCAAGAAAAAGAACAAATGCAGTTGAATTTTAAATAATTTCACTCCCCGTGGTGTTGATATTTGGAGGCATCATGACAAGAAAAGCAGCCCATCATATTTTATTTTAAATCATTCTAATTACATTTTTTACCGCCTCGAAAGACGTTGAGTTGGGTTTTGAAGAGAAAGGGAAGAGATGGATAAAGGGGAAAAAGATAATGATAACATTTAAACACAAGGAGTCAAAAGAGGAAGGTAGAGGAGAAAAGGTCAGTGAATCATGGGAACTTCCCCAGAAATCTGAGCCAATAACCTAATAAAGGGATGGTTATGCGGTTTTTGGTAGTCCTGCATAGGGCTGTGCGATATGACCAAAATCTCATATCCTGATATCGTCCGATAACGATATAAATCACAAAAATTTAACATTTTCTGTAAATTCTGTGAATCTCCGGCGGCTCGATTTGCGTGAAGTGTTTCCAGCTGAGAGTCATGTACCTGGAGTTGAGTGTTTTAACCGATGCATGAAACTATATATTTTTAGACATAATTTGTAACTTAACGTTTGAATCTAAGGTTTATTTTTTAGCACCTGACGGCTCTTTTTTGCTTCTTATCCGTAAATATTTTGCATACTCTTTCACATGATGCGGTTTATTTTGAAAAGTCTCAACAGGATCTTGAGCTTTATTGTGAAAGGTTTACGTTGTTGTTGCTAAAGACAACGCATAAAAACAGGCGCTTGTCCGTCTATAGTGTGGTTATATTAAATATAAGAGAAAGAGAACTTTAAGAAATTAATATAGCCACTACAGTGACCATCAAAACCATGAAAAAATATTGCCGTAAACGTTTATTTTGCGACACCACGAAACAAACAATAGCGTAAAATGAAACAGACGTTTTTATATCGTCATCCGATATATCGTTATATCAACAGCCCTAGTCCTGCAGCGCTTTTAACTTTGCTCACATATGAAAATACATACATGTTTGTTCATTTATCATTATGAAATGATAATTTTACTCTTTTTATCTTCATTATGTCACTGCATATAACGAGATAGCAAAAACGGCTGTTTATCAACACCAAGTAATTGAATAATAAATACATATATTCTTCGTCTTTGCAAGCTGTATATTCATTGATTCAGACAAAGTAATCAATGACAGGCACTATTAGTGTCATTCTTTGATGAAAATTTATTTAAAGATATGTTTGAAAACTTATTCCATTGACTCCAAAGTGTCACTGCACTAAAAATTGTTTTTATTTTTTTTTATTTACAAACAACAATCTACATGTAATCTCAATAATATAGAACTAACATGGATGTCCACATTCGCTTTGAGATCAGCTGCTACACGTAATACATGAATTTGTAGGGATTTCAGTGTTATAAAAATAATTGGCTAAAGCAAAATCCATGTTAAATTTAAGCTTTACATGAAACCACAACAGCCTCTTGTCTCCATGATCATCCAGTCTCACACAGTGACCGTAACAACCGTCCTGTTTAGTGTGTGCGTGACATAAGTTAGTAAAACATGACTGCGTGTGTGATAAAGTCTGGTACTGAGGGAAAGACTTTTGAGTCATGCTATTGTATAATATGTCAACAAACCAGAGTCGGCTTTCCCACAATCAACTAGAACATTTGCACACACAGAAACCTCTGACTGGCTGATATAAAACAAGAAAAATGTCTGCTGGTATTGATGTTTGGTTGATTAATTGGTGTCCTTGTTAACCCTTTGGGTCGTTTGTATCCCAGGTGTGTTGATTTTGTGAGATAATGTAACCATGTGGCTCTGTTCACCCCTTCCAGGAGCCCAGCACCAAGCGCAGTAAGCCTGTATCCCGGGTAGCATCTCTGGCCAGCCTGCTGCCCCCCGTCAAGACAACGCCGCTGAAGAGGATTGGCCAGACACTGCAGGTAAACCAACAATCACATATCTTCAGTTTTTTTAGTAGTAGGTTATTTAAGATGGGAAATGAGAGTGGCTCTTATCCTGCTGCCCATTTTAAGTATTAGGTTTGATGAAATTAGATCAGAGATCTCGTGCAGGGGCAGCTATGAATCCTACAGTTTAGAGTAGAAAATAGCAGTGAAGTGAGTGTGGAAGTGCCTTAAAACGACATTCTTTCTAATGGCAAAAAGACGACTGGTTACACAGAAATCTCTGAAGATATCGCCGCCTTATGAATGTGCAGCCAGATCCTGTCCGATTTCAAAACACAAAAATGGCAACACCCAAAACACTCAGCTTGACTTCAATAGCAGGTGACATTACAGTATACTGGCACCTATGCTGAGGGAGTGGAGGAAGGTCATAATTCAAAAAACAGTTTTATAGTCAAGTTATATTATTTAATAATATCATTTATGGGGAAAATTGATGATTGATGAGTTTTTACTTCCAGAATCAGGGATGGCAACAAAAGTTTTAGGCTACAGAATAGTACAATTTAACAAACAGAAATAAGTTCTAATATATATTTAAACCATCTTCTGTTTCTGCAGCGTACCATCAGTCTTCGTAATGAGGCAGAGAGAGCTGCTCCTCCTCCTCCTTCCTCCTCGACAAAGACACGTGTTATCTCAGCGACACTCTCAAACCCTTCGTCCTCCATGACTGCCCCGAGGGTTTCAACCGCAGCTGCTCCGGCCTCCAAGCGTCGGGACAGCAAGCTGTGGAGCGAGACATTTGACGTCCGACTGGGAGCGGCACAACCTCTGAGCCCCAAAGAGATAAAACGACAAGAGGTGAAAATCAGTGAATTTTTAGCAGTTTATTTTTTATTTCAATTCATTATTCTAATTTAAATACTAGAATATAGTCTCAAGAATGATCAGTAGAATAGAATAGCTCCTTTTTGTCACTGTACATGTACAACGAAATTTGAAACACTGCCAAACAACAATGATGAATTAACTTTTTGGCCTGAATCATAGACTGTATGTATAAAAAAAAATGGAAGTAGCCAATGTTGCCACCCATTTGTTTTTGGACTCCACATTTAATCACCCCCTGACACAGAGAGCTGCTAATTAGTGATAAAAGTAGAAAAAGAAAAAAAGAGAACGTCCCCCATCAAAATGAAGCACAGCGTCGTGGACCAGCTGTACAGGCACCAACACCAGAAATGAGTCCAGTCCAGTTAAAGGGCCTCATACCTAACTTCACCATAGAGCCGTTATAAAGGGGGAAATATCCATAGATTCTAAAGCTGTTTATATACCACACTGTAAACATGTTTGTTTCTGCTGTAAAATTGGGCATTTTAACATGGGAGTCAATGGGGCTGACTCACTTTGTAAGTCAGCCTCAAGTGGCCACTCCAGATACTGCATGTTCATTTTTCAGCCACTGAACCAAACTAACACTAACGTCAATCTGTAGCATTGAGTTCTCAAAGTAATTGTTCTTCCTTTGCAGGCTATATTTGAGCTGGCTCAGGGCGAGCAGGATTTGGTGGAGGATCTGAAGTTGGCCAAGAAGGTGAAGTAACTTGTTTATTTATATTTCAATGAAGAACTTGCCTTCAGTGTCAGTATAGTCACCTGTGTTTCTTTATGCGTGTGCTGTAGGCCTACCACGACCCAATGCTCAAGCTATCCATCATGACCGAGCAAGAACTGAACCAGATCTTTGGTACTCTGGAATCACTTATACCTCTGCATGAAGGTAGGAAAATATTTTAATTACCACCATTTACAGCATCTTTTCACAGGAATCTTTAGTCATTTGCATGATCTTTATGTAGACATACAGATGAATGACATATGTAACAACCTTAATGCTCTTTGTATAAAAACAATCTGTAATGGATGTTTGATAATTCATTGCTTTCTTAACTAAAATTAAACCGAGCCTCATTAGCAATCAGGTGGAGGAATCATGGCAGTTAAAGTAAAACAATTAGTTCTTTTTTTTTTTTCTTTTTTTGGTCGATATTTTTATACATTTTTATATACACTTACATATTATCATGTTAGGCTGTGTGCAGGCAGGCAGTAAAAAGGACCCAAAATGCAGGACTCTCAAAGACGGGACTGGAACTCAAAACGCAACTTTATTGCTAGAAAAAACTCTTAATAAATTAAAGTCACCAAAACTCTGAACGGCGAAACTAAGGACTGACATGTATCAGGCGCTTGAGACAAAACAAACAGCTTACAGGGCTTAAATACACAGTGGAGTAATCAGGAAATGGAAAACAGGAGAAAGGCACAGCTGGGAGAAATTAAGGCTAACGAGACAGGGGGAAGTAAAAGTGAATACACTGACATAGGATGGGGACTATCAAAATAAAATAGGAAAAAAGAAATAATTTACAAAGACGCGGACTTGAGACAGACTGAAAGAATATAACCCTTAATACAAACCAAAACATAACTCAAAGAGCTGTGTCAAAATGACCCAGAACCATGACACATATTTGCACTTCTATTGTATAAAATATTAGAGTTTAGGTGTAAATTTCATTTTGTGGAGTTTTCCTTTCTCTGTATTACTTGATGCCCTTAAAGCATCCATTATTCTCACTCTGACGTCTCTTTTTATAAATTTTAACTTTTCTGTCTTACCTCAGATTTGCTGAGTCGCCTCCGAGATGCCAGAAAACCTGACGGGTCCACAGATCATGTAGGACATATTTTAACTGACTGGGTGAGCGTTTTTCTAATCAACAGACAGCAGAATCCAGATATTAGCTCTTCACCAAGTATTTATCAGAGTGTTTGTCTTTGTATCGCTCTAGCTGCCCTGCCTCTCTGCCTACACGCCGTACTGCAGTAACCAGGTCAAAGCCAAGGCTTTGTTGGACCAGAAGAAGCAAGATCGGCGAGTCCAGGACTTCTTGCAGCGTTGTCTCCAGTCACCTTTTAGCAGGAAGCTGGACCTATGGAACTTCCTGGACATCCCCCGCAGCCGGCTGGTGAAATACCCACTGCTGCTCAGAGAGATCCTCAAGCACACAGCCAACGACCACCCAGATCGACAGCACCTGGACGAAGCGGTGAGGAAAACTAAGATTGCAATACTTCATCAGTTTGGGTCACCAGATAAAGCCTTTAAAAAGACTAATACTCATGACTGTTACATAAACTTGCTTAGTGCAGACATGTCTCAAGACGCACCTTCATCCCAAAGACAGTCGAGGGACAGTAAGGCAATAGACAAAGATGCAGACAGAGAAAATCCTGGCTGCCTCTTCAGTGTGGGCAGAAGATTGAGAGCTGTAGAAGTCCATGACTGTCCAACCATCCATCAACTCAGCTGACCACAAATGTCAGATGAGATAACAGTGTGTTTGTGTGTCTGTCCCACAGATGCTGATGGTTCAAAGCGTGGTAGCGGACATCAACAGGCAGACAGGAGAGTCGGAGTGTCAATATTACAAGGATCGTCTGGTGTACACAGAGGACGGACAAAGGGACGAACTCATCGACCGCTCCAAGACCCTCAGTTGCCATGGAGAGCTGAAGAACAACAGAGGACTCGTCAGTACAATTCTACAACTTTATCGTCCTCCCTTCCCCATTTATCCATTCTTTAATATATCCAAAGGTCAAAATGGACCTCAAAGTTTTAGATATTTAAATCGTTGTATGTAAAAGTAATCCTTATGAATGGGAAGCTCAGGCTTCAGGCTGCTCTGCTGTTTAATTGCACCTGATGAGGTGTTGATGAAGAAATGCCTGAAGCCTATTGTAGTCCCACTGCAAGGTATACAGCAGGGGGTTCAGAGGGGCGTAACATAGTTTCACATGGGTTTTTTAGTCTTGGGTATTTATGATGTCATAGAGAGGATTGTTGCCATGGCTAAAATATTTACAACAACACTGATTAAATCCAATCAATAAAACATGTTTATTTTCAACTCACTCTTGAAATCAGTGATATGCATTATATGAGTTTTCATGACATACGTGAGCTTTTTAAAGGTGATTCCTTAATTTGGTTGATTTTAATGCTACACAGAAATGCTTCTAATACTTTCATAACATTACCATTTTATGACCAAAATCACTCATAAATATCATCCATATATTTTATTGGTATCTCTAGAGGAAGAAATTAAAACCTGTACTCTGTCTGATTCTCTCTTTCTAGAAGCTCCACGTGTTCCTTTTCCAGGACGTCCTGGTCATCACCAGATCCATGTCGTCAAACGACCAGCCAGTCGGCTATCAGCTCTGCCGCCAGCCAATCCCCATTCGTCAGCTGGACCTGGAAGACCTATCAGATGGCGAGATAAGAGTGGGCGGATCCATCAGAGGGGCCTTCAGCAACAATGAACGAAGTCAGTACTGGACACAGCTATTTAAATCAGTGTCAGGTGTGCTGCATGCTGAGGATGTCTTTGTGACCAAAGTTAAGGTTACAAAAGTGTTTTTGTAGTTCTGCGTGGTAGAAACTAAATGTGTCATATTCTGCACTCACCACATGAACTAGTATGCTGATTGTAAGCTAGTATTTAATGTTGGACCTCAATGATCTTGTCCTGAACGCAGTGGACGTCCGTGTAGCCAAAAGATTGAATGTCTAGTGTCTGTGACTGAAACCAGAGGAACCTGTTGTAGCACAAAATTTACATGAGTGATTCCAGGATTTTTTAAACTGCCCATTCTGGGAAGGTAGCTACACTTTATGGGTGTCCCTGAATGTGCCACATGAAAACAATCGTGAAGTTACAATTTTGATAAGAGGTGTGTCATTTGTCAAATGACTCCAGAGACAGAAAAATGCATTAAATTATATTAAAACATGCTGGTAGAGCTGTCCATGTGATAATCAGTGGGTGTATAAAATCAGAGTGATTAAAGTTTGTATTATGTTGGATTTTATGACCTGCGTTATCTTTTCGCCTGCCTTTAAAGGGCTGTTTTAAGGGTTAAATCCATTTTTTAGGTTTAAAGTTATTGTTAGGGTTCTGAACTTAGTAGTGACAATAAAAATGATAGATGTATTGACGTACCATCAAACCATAATGTTCAGGTTGTGATCTAGTGAAATGGTATATCAAGGAAAACTAAGAGACTTTGTGCTGTGCTATAAAACTTGTGCACAGCTCACTTTTGCTTTAGTAAATATACACCTTTATTGGTCATTTGTTTGTTTTTGTTTTTATTTCTGATAATAATTTGGCAACAATGTTTACATATCAGTTTATTCTGTTTATTATAGGATTTTTATCAAATTCCAGCTTATGTTCACCACCTCTGTTTCCTGTTTCTTCTTCCTCATTTTCTCCTCCACACAGCAAAGAACTTCTTCCGGGTTTCATACCGTACTGGAGGCCAACTGCAGAGCCACTGCTTTCAGGCTAGTGACGCCTTCAACAAACAACAGTGGATCAACTGCATTAGACAAGCCAAAGAAGCTGCAGCACTGACTAGAGACCAGCTGCCACAGACGGGACATTGTCCAGAGACGGGGGTCAATGAACAACCAGGGCCACCTGTTGAAACAGTGGGGCTGTGGGGTGTGAAAGGACAGGGCTTGGAGGGAGAGGCAGGTCTGCATGGACAGCAAGAGCTTGGACTGAGGGATGGAGATGGGCTGGGTTTAACTCAAGAGACAATGACGGGGAAGGAGATGGAGGCAGATTTGGGTTTGCATGGTAAGTCAGAGATGGACGGAGCACTACAGCTTGTGATCAGTGAAGCAAAGACAGGTGTGGAGATGGAGGGAAATCGGGGTGTTGGTGTGGAGATGGGAGCTGAACCAGGAGCCACTGTAGACTTTAAGGTGGATGAAGCGGGACAGACTCTCACCAGATGTGAAGATGCAGTTTCCATTTCCCTCCTCTCCTCTTCAATTCCCAAACAAGTGGAGGATGAAGTGATGGAGGAGGAGTGGAGCAGTGCTGCAGAAGAAAGAGAGGATGGTATGGACACTGGCGAGATGGACTCACTGCAGTGCCACAGGTGCTGATAGGACAGCATGAATCAGGACTGGAACTAAACTCAACCAACTTTGGTATTTAGTAATGATGTAACTAACAAAAAGCCAAATGAAACGTATATGAACAAACTTCTTGGGAGAAGTCACGAGACCAACCGGTGCTCACTGCTCACAGACATACTGCTCAGAATTAAGCTGAAGGTGGTAAATGCTGTGATATGTATGTAAGATGTTAAGTCCAGGAGATATGGTGAAGTAACAAAAATGTGCTCCAGGTGAAATAAAGACTCAGAAAAGGCCAAATTCAAACAACATTAGATCAAAAACATTAAATAAAGAAGACAACTGACCACTGTATCTGATGAGAACAGAGATAAGATGACAGCAAACATTACACATTTAGAAATAAGTATATCTCAAGGAGATGAGTCAGGAGGATACACACTTATTCTCCACATCGGAGTAAACAGTCACTCCCTAGCAATGTAAAAACATTGTTAGGCAGGCAGTGAGACACTCCTCTCCCTTAGGTTAAATACTCCCAGGACAGTCTCACTGCTGCACCCACTCTGGTTGACCAACGGATGCAAAAATAAAAGTCCCTATAAAAACCTTGGTGAATTTAGAGTTTTGACTGTTTAAGGAGAATTGAAAAAGTGAAATAGAGGAAATGATGTTAGCAGTTGCTAAATGGTGTGTGCAAAGGTTGGTCATAAGACTGAGGATTGGAAGTAATCGTCTCCTGTGCTGCTATCTGCTGTGTTCTAACTGCAGTTAGCCATGGATGTTGTTAAGAGGACTGGATACCACACCCTGTGGAAGTTGCTCACCAGGCACACACTGCTGAAAGACTGCTCAAAGGCCCTCCCTCACAGGTTTCCTTTCCAGCTCCCCCCTGGCTCCATCATAGCTAACATTAACTCACATTTTGTACTGGACCCGCCTTTGAAGAAATAAATCCTGTTCCAACCACCCCTTACCAGCAGCAGAGCTCAACAGTCTTTATAGTGGTGACCAGGCTGAGAACACTACTTTCACCGAATGATAACAAAACGTATGTCTCCATTTACTGTAGAAATCATCAGTTATTTGGTTACTCTTATGTTTGGGGTTATGAACACAGAAGTATGGGGGTTGCTCCTGGACAGGCTTCTCCTGGACAGGCTTCTCCTGGACAGGCTACTGCTCACCTCACTGGTCCTGTGAGGTGAGCAGTAGTGGAAAACAGAAAACTGGGAAATGTGAAAACACATTTTTGCTCATTGGTATATTTTACATACCAATTCTGTTGTATAGATTGGTGGAGACACAGACTGTATGTAAAACGTGGATTCTTCTGGTTGGAAAAATAAGTCTGCAGAAAGCCATAATTTCAGTCTCCAAAACTAAAGAAGAGATGTGTTGGATGGTTTGTACCAAACAGGAAATTACAGTATTCTTAGATAATTCCTTTAAAAGCAAAGCAACAAATCCCCTACTTTGAGCCCAAAAGCCCCCCCCCCCCCCCCCCCCCCCCCCGTTCAGTTGTTATGGAGGGAAAGAAACTATTCAATGAAGCCAAAACATTAATTGTACCAGGCTGTAAATATGTGGTTGTTGGGCATCTTTGCATGGGGAGACTATGGGGATTGATTTCCTTTTGGAGCTAGCCCCAAGCGGCCATGAGAGGAACTGCAGTTATTGGCATTTGTACATTGGCTTCATTTTTCAGCTCTGGCGGACGTCACTTGGTTTTCATCTCCTGTTTTAGTTTTCTTGTCAGATGTGGGATCGCTTCCTCCTCTGCTGCTATGTTTCAAAAACTTTTTAAAGCATGTCTGAAAACACTGGAGAGAACTCAGCTGTACATTCCCTTTTAATAGCAGACTTTATTTATCTTCTGTGTTCTGTAGATTTACAGTTTTTATCATGTATCCCAACAATATTTTGTTAAACTGAAGTAGCCTGCAGCAGCTGAAGCTGCTGCTAAGTGAAATGCTCTGTGTTCAACTCTGCATTAAAGAAGGAGCCTGTTGTACATGTACTGTATGTATATAAAGAATGTATATGAAGTAATATGAATGAAGGGGGAAAAAAAACAAGCGCTACTGTTTGTTATATTCGTGCTTACATATTACACACAGAATGATTCCTGTCATCAATGTTAGCAAGGCTGAAGATGCTAATAATGACATTTACACTTAATTAAGGCTGCCATTTTTTTTTTAAATGAATTACACTACTGTGTAAAAGCTTTGAACCACCCCTTCATTTTTCTATATATCTTGCTAGGGAAATGGGAAATAGGTGCAGCACTTTATTCAAACATGTAGAAGAGTACATGGAAATAGTGTTTATAGGGCAAAAAAAACCCTGGAAAGTCAGTATTTGGTATGAACACCTTTTCTTAGGCAAGTTTTCTAATAATTTCTTTATGCAGTCTTTGGGAATAGTTTTCCATTCCTATTGAATGAAATTCAAAGCTCTTCTTTGGATGTTGGCTGCTTTTTGCTCCATTCTCATATTTTTGTAGATTAAACCAAAAGAAATGGGACCAAATGGTGTATTTCTGCTTACTTGTTATATGTAGACAACACTGCTACGTCCATTGAGTTAGATGCATTTTTAGTGCTTGAATGTTTCATAGGTCAATGCGAAGTGGTTAAATAAACAGAGAAAAACATTCTTCTGAAAATGTTCAGGTACAAGGACTGGACTGAAAATTAGTGAAATAGCAGCAATTTTCCAAAAAGACTAATTTTTCACTTATTGGGAGCACAATGTAAAGAAATGAGAGGTGGCTCAAAACTTTTGCAAAGTCCTTATAAGAGGAGATTTGGACATCTCTGCTCAGAGAACACTAACTATTGTGCAAAAACGAACAAGGTGATTATAAGTTGAAGTATTATTGTCTGGAACAAAGCATTAATAAATTGTTTTAATAGAAAGCCTTTCATTGGATGAATGGTTACTGTTAGTTTAAAAAAAATTCCTATCGCCTTGCACACACAGAAATGCAATCACTCAAATGCACAAAAGCTACAGTTACAGCAAGCTATTCTGATTGCCTTCAAATCTTCCAAACCAGGGCTAAGTCAAACAACAACAAAAAAAAGACAGATCACGACGGATGTCATTTTCATGGCATTGTTGTGCACCAACAGGAACCACTGCACACGCTGGTGCATTTCATCTTAATATCTAACGGCAGTCAAAATACAAGTGACCTCCACCTGTAAAACCATTCCTGTTTTGGGGGTTGTCTCATTGTTGCACTTCTATTGGTGTCTGTGAAGGTTCTCAGTCATCCAGGTCATCGTAGTCAAAGGAGCTTGCAAAGAAAAGCGTCTGGACTTCTTTAAGTTGCTTGAAGACATTTCACCTCTCATCCGAGAAGCTTCTTCAGTTCTAAGGTCAAATGGTGGAGAGTCCCAGATATAAACCTAGTGGGAGTGACCCCCCACAGAGGGACAAAAGGACCCCCTGATGATCCTCTAATCGCCTGAGCCAAGGTGGGAAACTGGGCGTGGGTCCCAATCAGCCAGAGTTTCGGGTGTGTTCATTGTGAAACCTGGCTTCTATTGGTGTTAAACTTCTATTGGTACCTATTGGTAATTTCATTAACACCAAAGCAGCTGAAACTGATGAACAACCCCTCTGCTACTTAAATTATCAGATCAATGTCCAAGAAGTTATATTGACTTGTCACTATACTATGAATAAAAAGTGTTCCTGTCATGTTTTTGAGCAGTGTACATCAAGGAACCCAAACAAGTTCCTCATCAGGTCAAGGCTCCACAGTCTATTTACACCTAAAGTCCACTGACCACCCTTTCAGTGATGAGAATGTACACATCCTGGACAGAGAGGACCACCGGAGTAAAGAAAGCCATCTCTGAACCAGTGAGGGGGATTTGTACATCTTCCACCACAATGCTGTAATTGCAGCCATTTCCCGGCTTTCTGTGAATGACTGCTCATGGACATTGATCCATAGTCATGTAAATTTGCATATTAACGATCATGAAACTGAGCTCACAGCCTATTGTTAGTCAATGGCCATTATGCAAAAGTACTTTTCAAAGGTATAGGAAAGCTACAGTCAGCTGAGACTGAAAAAGTCACTTAGACGGGAAATATTTCTCTCACAGATGTTAGAACATTGTGTGATTTCCTTACAGAGCACGCATTAAGACACTCCAGCTTAGTCCACTACTGCGAATTAATGTTAACCGTGCAGTGCTCATTACAACCTCAGAATAGCATGACATCATTTTCGTTCACTTGCTGTAAAGAAATATTCTCAGTATGAAATAATCAGATCATGTACAGATAAACTGACTGCTCAAATAACAATGACGCATTGGAAATATTTCAAAACGAATCTCACGTTTTTCCTCTCAGTTCTTTTTCACTATAAAATACGTTTATTATAAATATCCATTTATTTCCAACTGGAAAATACAGAAACTGCATCTTTAGAAAGCAAGAGACACCATGTGCTAAACTACATTTGATGTGTCTGTTTGTATTACTTGAACCAGCCAAACCAGAAACAGTAGTGCCGTTTATGGTCGCCCCCCTGCTGCAGAGCTGCCTCGATGGCTGGAGTATTTGACAGTCTGTCCATATCAAAGCATGAACAAGCAGGATGTGCAGGAATAAAGGGTACATTGTGTGCAGGCGGGATCTCACTGCTGGACGATTGGACATTGTGAATGAAGGCGGTCAAGGCATTATCTACCTGCACCAGGCACGTGCAGGGGGGGGGGGCTGGAGGGGCTTGAGCACCCCCCCTTTCCTGATGGGTGCCCAAAGTGCCCTTTTGTTGAGGCAACTTTTCAAAAAAAAAAAATATTTTTTGTGTGGGCGTGCGGAGTCTTGTCTGTGCCCCTCAACAATAATGTATACTATTAATCACAGTTTTACTGAATAAAAGGATCTGGCTTGCATCAGTCACATGATAGTATAGTATTTGTATTTGTATTCTATTTTTATCTTATTGTATATTTATTTTATTTTATTCTACTGTATATAGTATTTTATTTTATTCTATTCTGTACAGTTGTGTACTGCATTTATTCTTATTGTATTATAATTTTTGCCTCATAACTTTTGCACTGTCCACTTCCTGCTGTGACAAAACAAATTTCCCACGTGTGGGACTAATAAAGGTTATCTTATCTTATCTTATCTTATGATCACATTTAACCAATGATCGCTCTTGACGGCAGAACGCGCTGGTTACGAGCCGGGAACGAGCTCACAGAGAGCACGCGCATTTTTTGCAGTCCGGAGCTGTAGGAGAAACACAAATTAACTCAGAGACACAGACTTACTATATTTCTTCCATACAGACTGATGCGACAAAACCAGTAAGTAGGTGTACAGCGTACACTATAGTCTATAGCACACAGGAGTATTGGCTTATTACGTACACGTTGATAAGTTGTCTTGTGGCAACTGACAAACTGAAACAAATGAGCGTGCTGTGTGTGCAACAGCGCGACAAACATTACCTGTCCTTTTATTAACTGCACATGTAGTGCTGGTCATAGCTGCTAGCTCACTGGTTAAGGCTGTCATGGGTCTGTAGCTCTGTCCACCGTTTTAGGGAACATATTTAGTTTTAAAGTAAGTTTCCGGGCTTTTCCTGCCTTTCTGGAGGGCTTATATTTCACTAAAAAACGATCTAATATGCATGTCCACATAATTATGCATTATTATAATATTTAAAAAAAACACACGCTGTATTTTAAAGAACATACATTAAGAAGCAGATTATATTAGATTTGTATTTTAAATAAGACAAAATTTGGATTTTACAGCAGTAAAATGATTGTATCTCTACAGTTTAAAAATGTAATAAGCTTTGCCCCTGCACAGAGTGGATAGTGAAACAAATGGAAGCATCATAATGACATTATTTCATATTTATTACTTCCCCCTCCTCATTGCTTTATTATTGTAGCTCTAGTAATAAATAATAATGTAAGGATTCTGGATCAGCACAGTGATGCCCATAGTACAGTATTCTGAAGAAGGTCTAAAATGTCACTGTGTGTGCGTGCATGTGTTTGTTTTATGTATATGGATTTTTTAAAATTATTACTCTCATGATATAACATTGTCCAGACATGCCTGGTAAGGACATGAGGAGGAAACAGTAGGAGCTGTGTGAGGCTACTAAAGGCAGTGCTATAACATTTTTCTGTCATTTTATTATAGATTAAGTGCAAGAGTTGTTAGGTGTGGATAATTAGATTATAGTTTATTGCAATAGCAAGTTGTGCCTTGTTCTCAGATAGACAGCAAGTGGAGAGTGATATATGAAATGATGGGATGGAAGGAAGAAGAGAAGCAAAGAGTGATTCACAGGCAGAGCCTAATTTATTTCTCACAGTTTTTTGTTGCCTTATGGTTCCAAGCGCTGTCACCAATCTTTGCATTTTGTTATTATGTCATGATACTTGTTTAATCAGCTACCATCTCTCCTATGGACTTTTTAATGTCTACAGTCTCAGATCAAC